GGCCAAGCCCCAGAAGCAGGAGCTGTTGCCTGTTGCCTGTTGCCCAGGCCACCCTCCACCCCCAGTTTGGAGCCCTGCCCCCTGGGGCTGGGCCAAGCCCAGAAGCTGGCTTGGGATTTCATGGGGGACTGGTAGGCCAAAGGTTTTGGGGGACGGAGGTGGCTGGGCCAGAGGCCTGGGGCTCCAGCCATGAAGTCTCGGCAGAAAGGAAAGAAGAAGGGTGGCTCGAAGGAGCGGGTGTTCGGGTGTGACCTGCAGGACCACCTGCAGCACTCGGGCCAGGAGGGTAAGGGGGCCCCTTGCAGCTGCTGGGCCAGTGGGAGGCAGGGAGCTTCTCCAGCCCGAGCGGAGCTGAGGTGCTCACAGAGAGCAGCGGCTTAGGTCCACTCAGGAGACTGATGAGCAGGAGAGGCAGGATGGCAGCTCTGTCGACGGGGGACGGGAGAGGGAAGCTGAGGGGCGATGGCGGGCGCTTGGGTCTGAATGAAAGGGCCTCAGAGAGTCTGAGGAAGCACTAGGAGCGTGTGGGGTTCCTGGGGGAGGGGAGTGCCAGGGACAAGGTATGGGTTCAGGTCCCTTTGTGACTTTTATGGGCCTCAGGTAAGGATTCCAAGTGGGGATGGCCCCTCCCTGTTCCCTGTGATTCTTCTGTTCTACTGTGCAGGGGAGAAACCAGTTCAAAGTGGAGGGAAGGGAGAGGCTGTTGACATGCGAAGGCCAGAGAGTAAGAGGCGGCTTGAGGCCTTGTTTGAAGATGGGGTGAAGGGCACAAAGGAGGGTGTTGTGGGGACTGTCCAAGTGTTCACCAGCCAGCTTCCTCCCTGAGTGACCTTGGAGGGGGCTTGGGAACAGGAGGAGCGGGGACATTACCCCCTCCGGGGACATCACTGGCTCCACTCCCTCTGTGCTTGGTTGGCATGGAGCAGCCACTCAACCGCATTTCTCAATTTGATTTGAAGTTGAACACAGGTATCCTGGCTGCCCAGCCCAGCTTGTTTTAGGCACATCCAGCTCCTCCCAGAGAAGGGCCCATTCCCCCCGCCCCCCAATCTGTCATTTCCTCTTTGTCCTCTGCTCTGCTCTGGGTTGCGGCCCCTGCAGTGCAGGGAGGTGCTGGTGGTTCCTGCTGGTTTCCTGCTTAGGGCCCGCCCGCATCCCCAGACACCTTCTTCCCCTTTTCTCTTTTCTCCCCCCCAGAGGCCTCCATCCCCACTGGGCTCGACTAAGGGAAAGTCCAGGCCCCAAGGAAGAGTGTGGAACAGCTGAAGCGGCTTTCTGGGCCTTTCTCCTCTCAATGGGCAAAGCCCAGCTGCCAGGGCAGGGAGAGCCCTTTATAAGGGATTCTCTGGAGAACAGGGCTCTGGGCCAAGGGCACAGATTGAGTGGGGCTGACGTCCCTCCTCCAGTTCCCCGCAGACCCATGCTCCCTCTTCAGCCTGGTGCTGCCCCTCCCTGGGGCTCCTGCCAGCCCCACTTTGAAACACTGACCCATAGCCACAGAGACCCCTCTCCTGTGAGCCTCTATCTGCATTTGCAGCAGGTGAGGGGTGAGGAGCATGTTCTCCAGAAGGACAGACATCTGGTTGTTGGGTCCTGATCTCACTGCATCCCAGAGGGTGAGAGAAGCATCCCTCACCTGAACCCACGGGTGAAGCGACCCTGGGCACCAGAGTGACAGTGACGGCCTCCTTGCCCCCAGCCCTCCTGCACCCACAGGTGGAAGTGGAAGGGCAGAGACAGGCTGGGGATGGCTTCTCTCTAACCTAAGACCCAGCAAAAATGAAAGTACTGGCCAGTGGAGACCTGTGTTTCTGGTTCATTTATCCTCTGGTAACTATCTTGGTCCCCCCTTCAGTACACCCATCTCAGCACCTTCTCCTAGCTCTGCCCCAGGAAGGTCTCTTCCTTTCCCCAAGCCCTACAGGTATTGAGCCCTTTCTTTCCCTGATCTTCATCTCCTTTAACACCTTGTTCAGATTTCTGATTCTCCAGGCCCTCTTCCATGACCTGCCCCCATATATCTTTGACTCTGCCACCCCTACCTGGTCTGTATTTGTTCCTCTGACCCCACCTCTCTAATCTCTAGCTCCACGGCTCCTCCATCTCTCTGACCCTGCTCTCTCTTCCCCCACCTCCTTGGCCCGTTTCCTCTGTGGCTCTGATGCCCTAGGCTCCCGAATGCCTTCTTCAATGGCCTCCTCTGGAGGGTCAAAATCAACAGAGCACAGGGGATGGGGAAGGTCTCCTGCTTGGTTGCAGTTCATGTGGAAAGGACCTAGGGTTTAGGTGACAGCAGGCTATTTGTGAGTCATGTGATAGCCAAAAATGTTGGTGTAGCATTAGGCCCCTGAGAGGAGAGCAGTAGTTCTAACAAGGAGAACCCACCCCCTCCTCTCTGCATTCGGTGCTGGGGACCCCAGGTCAGGGGACCCTTGCCAGTGGGCATAAGTCCTGAAGGGATATTGGTGGACCAAGGCCAGGACTAAGTCCAGGCAAGAGAAGTGCCTGGGGTGTAATATTTAAGGAAGCCCTCACCTTCAAGGTCATGCATGTGCACAGCTGACACTCTCACAACCCGAAGAGCGAATGCTTCCTTAGCTTTTGCACCCTCAATACCTTTCTTGTCTCACTCAAGTCCTGGCTTTGGGGTGCAGGAGGGCAAAGGGTGTGGACACCAGGTCATATATGGAGGGCTTAAAATCCTAGTTGATGGATTTATTGTTTCCTTCATTCTGTATTTCTATCTTACTTAATTCCACAAGGAACTTAGAATGGATGACTTCCAAAATCCAAAACTTTAGAAAAAGAGTAGATGACTGAAGGAATTGTGTTGAAGGGAAAAGAAGAGGAAAGGTAAGCTCAGTGCCCAGAAACGCGTATCAGCTTCTATACGGCTCCTGGAGGCAGGCAGCTCTGAGCTTCCTGGAGATTAAAGGAGAAGGAAACACCATCAGGTGTAAGACCCATAAAGCCGATAACAAAAGAAAAGCAGGTGGCTTAGGGGAAACATAGCGCTTGCTGACACTGGCACATGAGCTCTGGTGGGTCTCAGTTAGTAGGACTCCATGTTTTATCTTTGGCAATATTCTGTGTTAAGTCTCCAAGAGATGTCACCAATTCTCATAATTGATTGGTAATTAATCGAGTCATTCAATAAACATTTACTGAACATATGCTATGTTTCAACACTGTGATAGACTATTTGTCAAAAGGATGTTACTATTTGTCCAAAGGTATAGATGTGAAAGAAACTAACCATTACAAGGCGCAATAAGTACTATAGTCAGGTATAAAGAAAGGACTCTGGGAGCTATAATACAGATACAGTGGTACCTCGGTTTTCGAATGTACTCCATTCCGGAAGACCATTTGAGTTCCGAAATGTTCAAAAACTGAGGGATCCACAGCTGACAGCCCGGCCTCAGGATCTTGCCCTCAGCAGAAGCCATGTGGCATGTTTGACTTCCAAGGCGTGTTCGAAACCCGAAGCATTTGCTTTTGGATTTATAGCGTCCATGATCCAAAATGTTAGTCAACAGAAACGTTTGAAAAACGAGGTACCACTGTACATGCAAAGGGTTCAGAATTGGAGGTGATGTTTGAGTTGTGTTTTGAAGAATGCATAGGAGTTTACCAGGCAGAATCAGAGGGGAGGACGTTTCCAGACAAGGGAATAACATGAGTGGAATGACAAGGGAAGGACATGGTACCAAGCCTTGTTCAGGAAGCAGCAAAGGGCTGAGTCCTAGGATTTGCTGGGGAATGGGCTGCCACTGAGGCTGAAATGGCACCTTGCGCCTGACCTGTGAAGGTTTTATATACCATGCTGAGGAGTTTATATTTTATTCCGTATCTGTAAGGTAAGCAATGACGTTTGGGGTGCAGCAGGGTATGGATATAACAAAGGATTTAAAGCAGGGGGTTGTGGAGTTGGGATTCATCATGTGGGCTTTGAGGTTTTCCCACGTATGAGACACCAAGTCAGATATGAGGAATATCGAGGTGGGTCCCACTTGGATCGTGTCCTTAAGGAGCTTGCAGTCTAGTAACAGAGGAGGGGCCAGATTAGGGAGACATAATGCAGCTTTTTGAGCTTTTGGAATTCAATCTTGGCTCTAACTGGGTGATACTGGGCACTCATTAGCCCTTTGATCCTCAGTTTTCCTATCTGTAAAATGGGGACTAGACTATGTAATGCACAGTGCTTGGCACATAGGAGCTTCTCTTCTGAACTGACATGTTTGAAGGTCTGTCACTATTTTGTGTACTTTCCTGTGACAGAACTAATATCCACGCACTTGCTTATGAGAGGGGGTGTTTCACAGCAGTCCCCATCAGCCCTGTTCCATTTTGGTTGGGACTCAGGGTAAAGGCTGGTGTTGGAAGTGCATTTATATAAATTTATATAACACTTCCAACCAGATTGCTGCCCCTTTAAAAATTCCAGAGTAGCAAGTAGTAATTACAGAGAGAGAAACTTCAGTTCCATAAAGACAGACCCTTCTACCAGGGGTGGGCAGTCTGCAGAGACCATCAGCTCTCCTTCCTGGGGTTATGCTGAGGCTCTAACCCAGTGGGCAGAGAGGTTGTAGAGGGATTGGAAGGTTGGAGCTGATGTCCTGTGAGAATCTTTCTGGCAAGTTTTATTCCATGGGCACTGCCCTCAGTCTCCCCAAACCCCCTTCCCTGATGCTTCCATGTAACCCCCTGAGATGTTCTGATTTCTCTGTGTCTGTGTCCCCAGTGCCCCAGGTGCTGAGGAGCTGTGCAGAGTTTGTGGAGGAGTATGGAGTGGTGGATGGGATCTACCGCCTCTCAGGGGTCTCCTCCAACATCCAGAAGCTCCGGTGAGTCAGGCAGTTTTGGGAGGGCTCTGGGGCCAGGAGGCCAGGGGGTCAGATGGGTGAGGGGAGGTCAGGAGAAGGAAACACAGATGCCAGGGACTGTGTAAGGGAGGAGCTCCAGAGTCTGGTTAGGAGAGGTTGAGACCAGGCACCCCCCCTCCGAGGGTAGCATGCACACATGGACACGCGCACACACACACACATGCACAGACACACATGCACACACTCATACACATGCTTGTGCACGCACAGACACATATGCACACTCACAGTGCACTCATTGCACACACACGTGCACTCCACACGTGCACGCAGAACACACATGCACGCTGTGCTCACACATGCATACACACCCCTCCACTCACACATACACACCCAGCTTTTTTAAAAATGTAGATATTATTCTCATATCATAAAATTCTCCATTTAAAAAGGTACATTTCAATGTTTTTTAGTATATTCATGGGTTGTGCAACCATCACCACTAATTTCAGAACATTTTATCACCTCCAAAAGCAACCCACATCCATAGCAGCAACTCCACATCCCCTCCCAGGACCTGGCCACCGCTGGTCTGCTTTTGTCTGAATGGATTTTTCTATTCTGCCCATTTCACATAAACAGATCATATCATTGTAACCTTTTGTGTCTGTTTTTTTCCACTTGGCATGTTTTCAAGGTCCATGCGTGTTGTTGCATGTATCAGCACTTCATTCCTTTTTTATGGCTGAATGATAGTCCGTCTTGTGTCTCGACCACATTTAGTTTACTCCTCAGTTAATGCCGCTTGGGCTGCTTCCACCTGTCGGCTGCTATGAATAACGGTGCTGTAAACATTCGCATACAAGTGCTTGTGTTGACACGTGCTTGCACTTCTCCAGAGTGTGTGGGAGCGGGGACTGCTGGATCACGTGCTGATTCTATGTCGAACTTTGAAAGGAACCGCTAAACTGTTCTCCACGGCAGTTGCATCGTTTCACATCCCCGCCGGCGTGTGCCAACGCCCCCCTTTCTCCACCTCCCTGCCAGCCCTCGTCACTCTGTCTTTTTTACGACAGCCACCCTAGTGGGTGCGAAGTGGTATTTCATCTTTATACCATTTGCATTTCTCTAATAGCTAATGGTATTAAACATCTTCTTGTGTGCTTATTGGCCACTTGCATATCTTCTTTGGAGAAATGTCTATTCAAATCCTTTGTTCATTTTTGAATTGGGTTATTTGTCTCTTTTGAATTGTAAGAGTTCTTTATATTCTGGATATTAGACACTTATCAAATCTGATTTGCAAATACTTTCTCCCATTCTGTGGGTTTTCTTCACTTTCTTGATAGTGTCCTTTGACACACAAAAGTTTGTAATTTTTTTTTTTAATCTTCACTTTAGGAATGAGGATATTTTTTCCATTGATTTTTAGAGTAGAAGTGCGGGGATGAGGGGGAGAGAAACATTGACGTGAGACACATCGATTGGTTGCCTCCTACACCCACCCTGACCAGGAGGGGAAGGGATTGAACTTGTGTTGCAGGTTAGATGCCCCTGACCAGGAACTGAACCTGAGACCCTCCGGTGTGCAAGCCTATGCTCTAACCACTGAACCATACCAACCAGGGCTCACAAGTTTGTAATTTTGACATTCAATTTATTTCTTTGGTTGCCTGTGCTTTTGGTGTCATATCCAAGGTTATGAAGATTTACACTTACCTTTCCTTCTAAGGTTACACTCCCCCATTTTTACATGTACCCAGAAACACATTCAGGCTCATCTCCCACTTCTGTTGGCCCCTACACCCCCCCTACATTGCTACACCTGCAGCTGCATCCCCGATGGGGAGCCCTGTCTATGCCCTGACCCACTTACCCTCCTCATATCTGCCCTGTGCATTGACATACATGCCCCAATGCCCTCCTCCCAAGTCCCACACATGTTGACCTCCACCTTGCCTGGAGCCCATCTCTACACGCCCACATTTCTCCTGAGCCCCCGCACTCCTGACCACTCTTCACCTCCCCAGGCAGGAGTTTGAGGCAGAGCGGAAGCCAGACCTGCGGAAAGATGTTTACCTCCAGGACATCCACTGTGTGTCCTCCCTGTGCAAGGCCTATTTCAGAGAACTGCCAGACCCCCTGCTCACTTACCGGCTCTATGACAAGTTTGCTGTGAGTTGGGAGGCTAGGGGTGGCAGGGAGGGCTGAGGGATAGCTGTTCTGATTTTGTTTATTGAGCACAACAGTACTTGGAGACCCTGAGCCCACACCATCTGGATGGGTGGGTGAGGCCTTCCCAGACACCTTGGAACAAGTCCAGGGACCCTGGGCCCCCCACGGGCGGGTATATTACAGCATCTGAGTGTTACCGGCAGCGACGCTAAAGCTGAGAGTGACAGCGAGTTAGTTGTTCAAGGTCACAAAGCTATATTTGGCATAGTCAAGATTTGGCGCAGGGCTGTGGGTCCCAGATCCTGAGCGCTCCTTGCATCACTGTGTGCCTTAGACCTGGGTAGGAACAGTGCGGGGCAGCACAGTTGTTGCTCGGAGTTTGCCTCAGAGCTCTGTGGAGGAAGCCGAGCAGGCTGTCACTGACTCCTGCTTCTTGAATCCCCCCAATCAGGAGGCCGTGGCGGTGCAGCTGGAGCCTGAGCGCTTGGTGAAGATCCTAGAGGTGCTTCGGGAGCTCCCTGTCCCAAACTACAGGTGTGTGGGGCTCCTATCCACCCCCAGCCCAGGCTCCTGTCCCCCCCCAGGCTCCCTCCACCTGGGGCCTTGATCTCTCCCCCAGTTCCCAGCCCCAGTCCTACTCCTGCCCTGTGACCCCACGTGACCGTGTCCCCTGGTGCCCCTCCCTGCAGGACTCTGGAGTTCCTCATGCGCCACTTGGTGCACATGGCTTCACTCAGTGCCCAGACCAACATGCACGCCCGCAACCTGGCCATCGTGTGGGCCCCCAACCTGCTGAGGTGGGCATGTGTGCGGGCAGCCTGTGGGCGTCCTGGCAGGGCCTCGGCCCCGGCAGGCGCCTGCAGGAGGGGCGGCTGTGTGGGTGCATTGGAGAGGGGGCTGAGGGGGGCTCACGGACCCCAGTGAGACACAGGAAGGTTCAGGATTACACCGAGTGTGATGGGGTTCACCCCTTTAACGCCTTCTCTGAGCTTGAGTGAAGTCCCCAAGGGCAGGGCCTTTGTTTCCTTCAGTGTATCACTGAGCTCAGGGACTGGCAGAGGATGCGTCCTTGTCAAGTGCTGTTGAGCAAATGTTTCTCAGTCTATTGGAAAACTGGCCTGTTAGTCACTCCTTGTGGTGGAAGGCAGACTATGAGAAATCCTGACATTCATTATAAGCAGGCTCTCTGTTGTACAAAGGAAGCTGAGATTAATTCTGAGGAGGGTGTCCAAGAAGGCTTCCTGGAGGAAGTGGCATTTGAGACTTGAATCATGCGTATGGTTTAAGAGGTGGAGATGGGGTTAAGGGCATGAAGGGGAAAGGGTGTAAGGTACTTTTAGGGAGAATTCACATAAGGAAGTGTGGTAGGACTGGGCGAGAATAACTCCCCCTCCACACAGGTCTAAGGACATAGAGGCTTCAGGCTTCAACGGGACAGCAGCCTTCATGGAGGTGCGTGTGCAGTCCATCGTGGTTGAGTTCATCCTCACACACGTGGACCGGCTCTTCGGGGGCGCCGCCCTCTCTGGTGAGTGTCTTTCCTGCCCAGCATGTCACCACTCTGTCTGGGGAGTCACATCAGACTTATAGAGGGCCTCAAAGATCATTTAGTTCAGTCTCCTCATTTTGCGGATGAGAAAGCTGAATCTCACTGGGCAATGTTTCTGAGACATTATGGCACAGCCAGGGCTGGCACAAGCCTCCCCTGCTCTTGGCACAGGGCATAGCTCCATCTCGTAACCACCATCCCAGCTTTCAACACCAGTGACTACTTGCTGTCACTGCTGCCCATGAGGCCAATGTCCTGGGATCTCCTGGCCCTCTCTGTCCCTAAGGACTCAGCCCCTCTTGAGGAGCTAGACAAGGGGCCTCTGGGTACACCCTTAGTTGGTGAGTGGGCAGGTGCGACAAGGAGCTGGGTGCCTGGAGCCTTCTCTTTTCTGTTCTCGGCTGGTGACTCCTCTCTTTTTCATAGGTGGAGAGCTGGAGAGTGGATGGCGATCACTTCCAGGGGTCAGGGCGTCAGGTAGCCCCGAAGACCTTATGCCCAGGTCCCTGCCCTACCACCTGCCTAGCATCCTGCAGGCTGGCGATGGACCCCCCCAGATTCGTCCTTATCACACTATCATTGAGATTGCAGAGCACAAGTAAGACTGCTTTCCTGGGTTCTCCTCCCCTGCACTGACCTCCAGGCCCCAACCCCAGTGATTTCTCCATTCTCCCCAGGAGGAAAGGGTCTTTGAAGGTCAGGAAATGGAGATCTATCTTCAACCTGGGCCGCTCTGGCCATGAGACCAAGCGTAAATTCCCACGGGGGGCAGAGGACAGGGGTAAGTTTGGGGCGATATAGGGGGAGCTCTGGTGTGGGAGTCCCAGGCCTGGCCCTACACACACCCCTGTCTTGCAGAGGACAAATCTGATAAGGAGACTCTGCGGCCAGCCAAGAGCATGGATTCCCTGAGTGCTGCGGCTGGGGCCAGTGATGGTGAGTGCAGGCGTGCACTCTGGTGTGTGTGCGTGTGCATGCGCTGTGGTATTAACAACATGGGCCTGTGAGCCACATCTGTGTCTGTCTGTAAGGGAATCACAGTATTATGAACAAGACCATTGTGTGTGCATTTGTGTGTGTACATGTGGCCAACTATACTCATTAATTTCAAAACCATGTGATGAGTGCCTATTCTATACCTGCCATAATGCTGGATGCCAGCCTCACAGTGGTGAGCTTGTCATTTAACCTATGGGTGTGTTCATGTGAGTACATGCAGGGACACAGTGGTGTGTGTGTGCGATGGGGGGGAGTGATGGCCAGTGACAGCACCTGCAGGGAGGGAGGGGGCTCCTGGGTATGTGTAGGTGGGGCACCTGTGACCTGCTGGCTGTGGAAGGTTCGCTGTACTGGCCAAGGGAAGCTGGGCTTGCTACCTTCTAGGCTGCCCTCTCAGGCTCAAGGGAGCAGGGAGCATTCTGTCCTGTTCCGCAGCAATCCTGAAGTGTCCAGGTCCCTTGCAACTGAGCCTGATGCCTACCTCTCTCTCATCCACAGAACCAGAGGGGTTGCTGGCACCCAGCAGTCCCCGGCCAAGCCTGCTGATGCCTGAGAGCTTAGAGAATGAGTCTGTGGAGGCAGCAGAGGGTGAACCAGAGCCCGAGGCAGGCACGCCGGGCAACACAAACTCCGAGCCAGGAACACCGCGAGCTGGGCGGTCAGCAATCCGAGCTGGGAGTGGCAGCCGTGCCGAGCGCTGTGCTGGTGTCCACATCTCAGACCCGTACAATGTCAACCTCCCACTACACATCACCTCTATCCTCAACGTGCCTCCAAACATCATCTCTAACGTCTCCCTGGCCAGGCTTACCCGTGGCCTGGAGTGCCCTGCCCTACAGCCCCGGCCAAGCCCTGCCTCTGGCCCTGGCCCCCCAGGTGAGGACCCAGGGATTTTTCAGGGCTGGGAGTGGGGACTAGAGCTCTAGGCTGAAGCTCTGATGCTTGGGAGAGCAGAGGACTCAGCCTTTGGGTTTTGGGTGGTTACCTTCAGCTGCCTCCCTGGTTCAAGGTTGGGGGAATCCAGTAATATTACCAACTTGTATGAAATCCAAGGATGGGGTATATGTCAGACATATATGGCAGGGGTTACTCAGTATGAAGTGGGAATGTGTAACAGATGATAGTAATGAGTCATAACACTTACAATGATTAATAGCTAACACTTATCAATGGGTTATGATAGGCCAAGTACGGTGTTAAGGACTTTGCAGGAGTTAGCTTATTTCATTTCCTCATAATCTTATGACACAGGCACTGTTGTGCTTACATGGCAGCAGTCGAGCCTCAGCTTATGTAAGCAAGGTGTCACGGACTCAGGCAAAAGGCGGCAGCGCTGGGGTCTGAGGCTGCTCTGCACTCACCTGTGACCAGAAGTGCTGAGCACACAAGGCTGGTGTTAAGAATGTGGCAGTGGTGTGCATGTGGGACCGACCCTCGTCTGTGCCACTTGTTGGGACCTCGGAGAAACTGTTTAATTTCTCAGACTCTCAGTTTCCTCATATGTAAAATGGAGACAAATATTCTGTATTATAGGGTGCTTTATGGGGAAATAAGATAATGCATTATAAACTGTAGAGCATGGTGCTCAGCACCTGGTAGGAACTCAATAAAGGCAGCTATAAGTCAACAGTTCAGAATATTGCTCTGAAAGGATCAGCCACGTGGGGGTCTTTGCTGGGAGTACTGGGCCCCTGATGTAGCAATGCTGGGAAGGCCCACATTGGAAAGGGCCAGGGTTGGCCTGGGCCTTCGTATTCCTGGGATTATCTCTCTTCCAACAGAGGAGAAGTTGGAGGCAAATCCAGTCCCAGGTGCCCTGGCTGACTCAGGCCCAGCGGGAGCTGCCCCGGCCCTGGAGGACTGTCTGTCCCAGGAGGTGCAGGACTCCTTCTCCTTCCTAGAGGACTCCAGCAGCTCAGAGCCCGAGTGGCTGGGGGCCGAGGATGGGGAGGTGGCTGAGGCAGGAGCCACAGGAGCAGCCTCCTCCCCTGGGGAGGACGACCCTGGGATTGGCTATCTGGAGGAACTCCTGGGAGCTGGGCCTCAGGTAAGGAGGAGCTGTGCTGGGTTTGGGGGAGGTAAGGAATCCAGAGGGGAAACAGGACCACCTGGTCCTTAGCACAGTGCTGTGCCTACAGGTGGAGGAGTTCTCTGTGGAGCCGCCCCTGGATGACCTGTCTCTGGATGAGGCCCCGTTTGTCCTGGCCCCCAGCTGCTGTTCTCCGCACGCGACTGGCCCCAGGCCCGAGGCAGAGGAGGAAAATGGGGAAGATGTCTTCCTGAGTGCCCACGATGACCTGAGTCCTCTCTTGGGGCCCAGAGCCCTGGCCTGGGATGGCCTGGGGGGTCTGGAGGAAGAGGCAGCAGGGTGTGGAAGAGAGGAGTCTCCAGAACAGGCTGAGTGGGTGCAGGCGTGCTGGGAAGTTGACGGGGGCAAGGAGGCTGAGCCTGGTGGCAGACGGGACACCAGGGGGGAGGCTGAGGGGAGTGCAGAGAGCAAGGTGCAGGCTGGAGAGGCAGGTGAGGAAGACAGAGCGGCTGGGGGAAGCCAAGAGGTGGTGGTCAGTTTGGGAGAAGGGAGTAGGGAAGAGACAGAGGCCAAGGAAGAGGCGGCCCAAAGTCAGCAGGAGGATGAGAGTACGGAGGAAGCTAAGGGTGTGGAGAGAGAAGAACAGGGAGAAGACGAGGAGGAGATAAAGACTGAAAGACAGGGAGAGGCTGCGGAAGGAGAGGAAGCCCAAGCAGAAGCTGGACGGGACGCGGAGCTAGGGGCCCAGGAAAAGCGAGCTGCCGAGGAGAGCAGGGAGGCTGAACCCACACGAGAGGCTGGGGGGGGCCGAGGGGCTGAGGGTGAAGCCAGTGGGTCGAGGGGGAGCCCACACCAAGGCGCAAGAGAAGGGCAAGGAGAGCCTGAGGGCACAAGCGCAGAAGCAGCCGCTGGAGGAGGGGCAGGGCAGGGCGGCAAGGAAGGGGAGAGCGGGGAAGCAGAGGCGGAGGGAGAGCAGAGAGCTGGGGGTGACCACTTAGAACGGGCCTTTCTCCCAGAAGGGTCATATGGAGTGTCCTTGGACGATGATGATGCCAGAGAGGGTGATGACCAGTCCTCTGAGACAGAACAGGGAGTCCCACAGCCACCCAGGCCAGAAGAGATGGAGCCTGAGGGGCAACCCCGTCTAGAGGGCTGCAGTCTGTGCCCTTGTCCCCTTAGCTCAGCTGGCAGTGTGGGCATGCGCCTGGCCTCCACCCTGGTTCAGGTCCAACAGGTCCGCTCTGTGCCGGTGGTGCCCCCTAAGCCACAGTTTGCCAAGATGCCCAGTGCAATGTGTAGCAAGATCCACGTGGCACCTGCAAACCCATGCCTGCGGCCTGGCCGGCTTGATGGGACTCCTGGGGAAAGGGCTTGGGGGTCCCGAGCCTCCCGCTCTTCTTGGAGGAATGGGGGCAGTCTTTCCTTTGATGCTGCTGTGGCCCTGGCCAGGGACCGCCAGAGAACAGAGGCTCAGGGAGTGCGGCGTACCCAGACCTGTACTGGGGGTGAGGACTACAGCCTCACACCCAGAACCTCTCCCTGTAGCATGATCCCTGCCCATTCCCTTCGGCCCCTCAGCTGCCTAGAACTCCCACCTGAAGGCACAGAAGGGTCTGAACCCCGGAGTCGGTTTAGTCTTCCCCCCAGAGAACCCCAGCCCCTTCACCCCCTTATGTCCCCACAGCGCCGATCATATGCATTTGAAACACAGGCTAACTCTGGGAAAGGTGAGGGACTATGATTAGGACCAGAGCATTGGGCAAGGGGGAAAGTAAGTTGTCTTCAATCTCTGGGGTCCCGGACCAGCTGCGTCTCCCGCAGCCTGAGCAGCTGCAGTGCCCAAGTCTATAGGCTTTGGTCCTCCAGCTTCTCTGTGACAGTGGGAAGCGCTGTCTTGGTTGGTTTATCTGAACTTGTCTTAGGCACAAAGCACTCATCCCTTTGGAGATTCCCAAGAAAGTCACCAAGAGCCTAGGGAGTGAGGTCATTGGCCAAAGGGAAACAAGAGTAGGCAGAAGCCATAGCGGCTTCTCGAGGGGACTCCGGCGGAGCTCCTGCTCCTGGAGGCTGTGACCTCCTTGCAGGAGCCCCAGGTGGAGGACAGGTCCGAGCCTGCCACACGCAAGCTTCCGGAGCTGCTGGGCCTCCTGTTCTGGACCTTTGCTTACCTCCTGGCCCTCTCTGCTCCAGACCAGGAAGCCCTGTGGAGACCTCGCTGTGTGTTGGGGGGACTGGCTCCCTCTGCAGCTCCTCCATCTGCCTCCTGTCACCGTAAGGAAGGGGGTCCCGTACAGAGCTCTCTGGCCTCCTTTCCCTTCGAAACAACTCCTCCTATTTCAGGGAAGGGGGATGGCTCCCTCGGCCTCCGCACTGACTCTCCAGACAGGCTGCGGCCGCAGGCCCCATTCTCCTAAGGGCCCATGTCTCAGAATAAAAGTATTTTTACACTTAAGCAGTGTGCAGCTTCATTACTTATTAAAGCCTCGGGTGACAGGCATCACAATGGCACGTCGCTCCCGGCTCGGTGCGCGTCTCGGGGTTGTCATGGAGACCTGCGGCTGGAAACTAGAGCTGGGTTCGGGCGCTGCGGCCGCGGGGCAGGGAAACTCACTCGCGCCATGTGCCGCATTACCAGGAGGACCTAGGTTTCCACGTGCCCTTTATTTTATTTCGTTCCCCTAACAATTCTGAGAGGCTGGCGCGGGTCGCTGCCTCTTACAGTTGAGGAAACCAAGGCTCAGGTCACAGGTCTGCGGAGGTCTCAGGCGGGAGGCGGCGGCGCAGGTCTGAGACCGCGTCTGGCTGGCTCCTGGGTCCCACTCTTCCCAGGACATGGCGCTCCGGAGTCCGCGCCGGTGGGCGAGAGGGCGGGAAGGGGCGTCGGGACCCCTCTCCCAGAAACTGAGCCCCACCCACCGGAAGCCTAGGGCGCCCTGGGGTGAGTGGCTGCAGACGCTAATCCAAAGGCAGGTCCTCAGCCCGGCCGGGCGTGGCTCAGCGGTTGTGCATCCACGGAGGATCCAGGAGACCCGGGTTCAATTCCCGGGCAGGGCACGTCCTGGGTTGCGGGCTAGGGAGCCAATCAATGACTCTCTCATCATTGATGTTTCTCTCTCTCTCTCCCCCCTCCTTTCCTCTCTCTGAAATCAATAAAGATAAGTTAAAAAAACACACAAACAAACCAAAGGCGGGTACTCAGAAGCGTGCCAGATGCGTCACCTCCAACCGGAAACAGACAAGGGTCCCGATGCCAAGATGGCCTCCCGCCAGCCCTTGCAAAGATGGCGCCGCCGGCCGCCATCACTGCCTTCCCTCCTGTACCGCAGGAGGATGGGAACAAAAGTTAGTTGTATTTCTCCCGTCTTGCCGAAAGCGCCTAGGCCTTCAGCGTCGTCCTTCTGGGGTCCCAGGAAGTCGCAGCCTTAAGCCCTCACCAAGATGGAGCGGACGGAAGTGGGGAGGCTCCTGCCGGGGAGGGTAGACAAGGCCACTTCCGCCCGTCACCAGCATGGCCCCGGGCTGGGAGCGCGCATGCGCAGCTGCCCATGGCGCGACCAGAGCACGGACAGGGACGTTGTCTTGGAAAATCGGCGGCTGAGGCCAGTGAGTGCGGCACGGGACGGGACGGGACCTGGAGGGGAGCTGGAGACAGGCTGGGCGGCAGGAAAGGCAGCCGCGACGGCGTTCCGTCTCTCAGGCCAGGGAAGTCCTTCGTGTTGAGGGAGGGGCCGCTCCTGGCTCTTTATCTCCCGCCCGCGCGTCCCGCCTCCTGC